ATTTAATACTATTTAATAAGTGTCTATCAATATCCATTTATTAATATTCATTCATGCTCTACACTCTGTTTAGAAAAATTAACCTCACTTTTTCTTCCTGATAAACCTTGACGCATTTTTCTAGGACCAGCTCAAATTCGTCTTTCCTTGAGAAACCTTGTCTGACCCACTCTGTGTCTCTTTCTATCACACTCTGGCACAACTGATGCTTTTCTCCAGGCTGCTCCTGTAGCCTGTGGCCCAAATGTCTCTTACAGTCCTTAGTGGACTGTGTCCAACCAAGTAATTTATGTTAAAAGCTCTCCAGCTAAAATATAAACATTATGTAAAAGAAAGTATATCTTAATCATTTTATACTATAGGTATTTAGCTTGCTTATTAGCAGATAGTACACATTAAATCAATGTTAATAAAGTCCAGAGAAACAGTGTAGGTTTAAGGTAAATCAGTGTTTCTCAACTAGAGGTGATTTTGCAACCCCTTCATCCTCCTGAAAACTTTTGGCAATGTTTGCAGACATTTTGGTTGTCATAACTCCGGGGGTAAGAATGCTACTGTATCTATGCATAAAGGTCACAGATGCTGCTAAATATCCTGCAGTGCATAAGATAGCCCCACACCTACACCAAAAATATTATCTAGCCCAAAATGTCAGTAGTGTTAAGGTTGAGAAAGTCTGAGCTATACAATATTGAGAGGCAGTCAGACCTTACATAGGAAAAATAAGGAGAGAAGTCAGAATTGTAAAATTTCTTGCATTTCTTTAATCACAAAATTTAGGGAAGCTATGAACATACTGAAAAACTGAGAAGAGTCAAGATCTGCATCAAAATTGTACTGTTCATACACTCACCACTCAGGTTGCCCTGGTGACAAAACTCCATATTGTTATAATGGCATAACGACAAGGAAAGTATACAGTAATTACAGGTGCAGTGTATTTGCTCTAGTTAGTCTCACTGGAGAGAAAAGGAGTTTGGAAGAAATTTGTACCTCAGACAAAAAAATATGAAAAGAAGAAGAATATAACTTATCTTTAAAAAGACTAACTGAAATGTGTGTGTTCTGGGGGAGTGGCTATATGGAACCAACATGTTATTTTCCACTGATTCTGGACAAGTTAACATAGGGAGTGTTTCTCAGCCTGTGGTCCCTAGCACTGAAGCATCAGCATCATCTGAGAACTTATAAGAAATGCAGATTCTCATGTCCCTTTCCAGAGCTACTGAATCAGAAACTCTGGGGATGAAGCCAAGCAACATATATTTTGACAAGCCCTGATACATGGGTGATTCTGATACATACATGTGGGCGATTCTGATACATACATGCAGGTAATAAGTAATATAGTTGCTTATCAATTTGTCTCACCTGTTCGACTAAAGTTAACATCAAGACCTGGAAGAGTCCTAGGATAAGAAAAGTTTCACTGAAGGGATGCCCTGTGTAGGATGGCTTGGGTTTGAAGCAATCTGTCCTATTTCTTAAACTGTTTTCCCTATAGATTTCATTGCCCTGCAGTACAATAACACTTTATCAAGACCTCTGCTGCCCTCTGCATATATTAATCCACTTAATTCAGCAGTGCTAGTACAGGAGACATTATCAATCTACTTTTAAAAGTGGGGAAACAGCCTAAGAGATGAACTTGCCTGAGGTCATGTGACTAGTAATTGTTTAGGTAGGAATAGAATCTGAAAGCCAATATGCTTTGTATGGAGCAATAGCAGATTTCTGATGACCAAGACTCTTGGACAACCTAGCCATTTCTTTATCACGAAATGATCAATTTCCTTTAAATAGATTCCTAGCGTCCTTTATTTTAGTAAGAAAGTCACACATACTACTGCCTTAGTGCATACTGCAACACGGGTTATGACTCTTATATTTTGTTTTGTTAAGAATTATATATTACATAAAACTTTGTATGAGGCTTGAGTCTACTTCTTAAGCCAGTTTTTATTTATGAGTATTGGTAATAATGTGTGAGAGAATAAAGTTGCCCAGTACAGAAAAGTACTGGGATCAATTTAACCAGTATCTGCCTTCCAATGTTTTATAGTCTTGACAGAAGCTCAGCAAGTACATTTCAAACATGTTCTGCACATTTTCCCCCCCAAATTTCTTCTTTTCAGTCCTAAAAGTGATTTCTATCAGAACCCCACCCAATCTTTATTTCCAAGAGAGACAAGTTTTTATAGAAGTAAAGGGATTCCAAGTACCTGATACAATGGGAATAAAAGAAACTTGGAAGAAGATTCTCTTGCAAAAGACATATGGGAAAGAGATATTAGAATATCATACAGATGATAGAGGAATTTATGATAAGTCTTCGGGTTACACCAACTGGAAAGAGATAAAGGGTTACAATATGGTGGAAGAAAAGAATGAGCAAAAATTTGTGAGGAAGATTTCATTCTTCTAGGAGAGTATCAAGAATTAAAAAAAAAAAATGCCATGGAGAAGAGTCAACAAATTCAAACCGCTTTTTCTTACCTACCTGAAAAATTCCAGAGTAAACTTGCCAAAAGTAAAATATGCTTTTGTAGAAATGTATTCTATGGGATATTGTTTTCCTTAAGAGTTAATACATATAAATGGATAAAGGAAATGTGATATTTATATGGAATGGAATATTACTCAGCCATAAAAAAGAAGGAAATCTTGCTATTTGCAGCTATGGATAGACCATGAGGGCATTATGCTAAGTGGAATAAGTCAGAGAAAGATAAATGCTGTGTGATCTCACTTACATGTAGAATCTAAAAAAGAAGCCAAACTCATAGATACTGAGAACAGATTGGTGGTTGCCAGAGGCATGGGGTGGGGATGGGCAAAATGGGTAAAGGGGGTCAAAAGGTACAAACTTCTAGTTATAAAATAACTAAGTCCTGGGGATTTTATGTAAGTATGGTGACTATAGTTAACAATACTGTATTGCATATTTGTAAGTTGCTAAGAGAATAGATCTTGAAACTAGTATAACACTGTATGTTAACTACACTGCAATTAAAATAAAAAAAATAAAAGTGCTCCTCACAAGAAAAAAATTTGTAACTATGTGTGGTGATGGATGTTAACTAGATTTACTGTGGTGATCATTTCACAATAGATACAGATATCAAATCATTATGTTGTACACCTGAAATGAGTCTAATATTATATGTTAATTATATCTCAATTTTAAATATCACATACCAGTTACTCGAAGTTTATCTGTACCAACCACGACTTCCTTTTCATCGACAGTAAACAGTGCCTTGCCATCCTTGGAGTTGATCTGAAACTGTTGACTCTGGACCTCTACCATTTTGGGACCTGAAAAATTCATTAAAACATTTTATTATGAAGTGTTTACTATATGTAGTGTCAAAATCTCTATTTTTACATGTCATGTCACCCATGTCAAATCACTAAATATATAAAATCTGTTACCAATAGTTCTTTTAAATTCTATGATTAAACTTTTTATGTTCTAAGCCTAAATCTATATTATTAAAATTATGTCAAATATGTGCTAATCTACAATGCATATTGTGTAGAGATGCTGAATCACTATGTTGTACACCTGAAATGAATGCACCGTTGTGTGTCAACTATACTCAAAAAAATTTAAAAAGCAAAACCAAAAAAAAATGTTAATCTAGATCAAATATATGAACAGATAAGTCATCTAAAAGTTAATTTTTTCAAGTTTACAACTTGCCCAAAATAACATATTTCTTCTAGTGAGATTATTTAAATTTGTCATCTTTTGAGTACTACCCCACTAAGGATTTTGTATTCTGAAAACGTGAGATTTGTGAAAGACCATTTTATGAATGGCTCACTTTAATGGCCAAAGTCAACCCGGAAAATGAATCATACTCAGATTCCCTCCTCTGCCCTTATCCTCAGGAGAGGTCCCCACCTCTTACCCCTTGGAGAAAACAGACATCAGCGCAGAACATCTTCAAACTTCTGTCCTTCCTTCTCCTATGGCATTTTTGTCCCCATCACGCCTTCCTTCTTCATATTTCAGTGACAGAGACATCACTTTCTCCTCCAAGTTTCATCTCATCAGATGAGCTTTGGACTCAGTGACTACCAACTCATTATTTACTCAGCAAAGATTTAGTGGGTGCTCCCACGTGCTGGGCACTGGGGATACCGTGCCCTCAAGAGCATACCCGACCTTGTTCGATTTCCCTTGCCTGCTCTCAGGCGTTCACCATTTTATGTTTCCTAGTTAATCTTTGTGTTTCCAATCTTTCTAACCCTGGCAGCATAACAGGTTAATCTCTCTGGAACACAGCTCTCAGCATTTGTGCAAGGAACTACACGTATTCCCTAATTCTTTTGTATGTTAGCTTTATAGTCTTACCTAGGAGAGTAAGTTTATTGACAAAATGGCTATCTTAGAGTCTTTGCATGTGTGTCCCTGTATGACTCCCAGTACTCATTAAAGTTGATGGATACCTAACCAGAAATTAAATAGAAGCTCTTCAATGAATACATTAACCAGTTTTGGATATGATCACCAACATAGTCTTACATTATTTCATTAACTGGTATTGTAAAAGCCTTTAGTGATTCTTCATTTAAATATGTCTGTATGTGTGTTTGAGGCAGTTATAAAGTGGAACTCATTTTTTCCTCTATGTCTTAATCTTCTTTCCCTTAAGGAAGCCAGACTTTATTTTTTGGATAGTTGCCTGTATTTCTGCTCTTCTGCACTTTTACCCAGACTCAGTCACTCAGGGACTTAGCATCACCATTCACCTCTTCTGGGTCACTGCTATATCTTACGTAGTCATTATATAAATACTGCTTTGCATTATTTATATTTATATTACATGACGAATATGAAGTTATGGGCATTTAAAATTGACAAGGAGAAAAAAAACCCTGGAATAATTTATCTAGTAAGACTTCACTGTTGAGCTTATTGGAGATTCATATAACAGTTCTAGGAGGCATTATTCAGTAAAAGGGGTTCAACTACATGACTGATACCTTTTCTGTAACCACTGGTTCATATACGGTGATGAACTAGTCAACGAGCTTAGGAGCATAATTTTCATGAGTAGCAATATAAGTAGTCATATAAACCCTTACTCAAGTCAAAGAAAATGCAAAAATGCAACTCTTGATCTCAGAGTCATGAGTTCAAGCCCCATGTAGGGTGTAGAGATTACTAAAAAAATAAACTTAAAAGACAATGCAAAAAAGTGAGTCTGTACCATTCAGCACAAATTTATGGCATTTTTAATTTTTTTTATGTTTAAGGTTCTGTGCTAAGAATTGAGGATAGATAAACAATTGTGGGATGTAGCTCACAACTTATAGGAGTTCCTAGTCCACTGAAGAAAAAGGGTATGAACCGAGTTCCAGGACAATTTAGGAATGGCTGTGATACAAGGAAGGCAATGTTCAATGAGAAACCCTGACAGGAAATCCCTGATCTATTCTTGGGGGTCAGGAATGGCACCCTGGGAAATGATGTCTGAGCTGACCTTGTAGAAAGAGTTTCTGTTTCCCTGATGAAGGGAGAATGAGGTACGCCTGGTAGAGGGAAATACTTGAGCAAAGGCACAGAGGTGAATAAAATTCCATCTTCGTTTTATTAAAAACAAAGACACATTGAATGTTAAATTTAAACATGTTTTCTTTTTTTTTTTTTAAAGATTTTATTCATTTATTTGACAGAGAGAGAGAGAACAAGTAGGCAGAGAGGCAGGCAGAGGGAGAGGGAGAAGCAGGCTTCCCATTGCGCAGGGAGCCCGATGCGGGGCTCGATCCCAGGACCCCGGGATCATGACTTGAGCCGAAGGCAGCAACTTAACCAACTGAGCCACCCAGGCGCTCCTAAACATGTTTTCACTTCAGAAAACACTATTCTCCAAGTGATGACAAGCCCATAATCACAGGGATAATCATCTCTTAAAATAACCGAGTTTCTAATCAATCTTTTAAATTTTATTAATATTCTACTAGTTTTTATTGACCTAGCTGAACAGGGATTAGAGCTAAGCAAATAATCCTCTTTTGCAGTGGAGTTCTTTAAGAAATAAAATTCAAATTCTACTTTGGTGATAAAAGTAACTATCTGGTAAAGTAAAATTTTTAATGAAAGGTTTTGGTACAAAGAAGGAAATGAAAAATGAAGGAAATAAATAAAGGAAGCTTTCATGATCTGACCAATTACGTTTGTGAAATCGGCTTAAGGGTTTTTTCGAGTGAAAATACAACCAAGTTTTCCTGACATACATAATCCTTGATAGATTTAATTGGATATGTGACTTCCTCCTCATCCTTTCTACCTCAGACTCATCCCCCACCCTCTTCCCATGCATACCCGGAGAGGAGCCAGTCTCTGCATTTCAGGTTTCTCCTTCATTTCTTTTGCCCACAAATAAGTGAACACACGTATGTTTTCTTATATCCCTTTCTTTCTTCCATGAAGGGTGGCATACAATAGATACTCTTCTGTACTTTACTTCTATTGCTTACAAATACATCCGGGAAGTCACTCCATATAAAATCTTAGATATCTTCCTCATCCTTTTTTTTACAGATGCAGGGTTCTCTGTCACGTGGATGTACTGTGGTTATCCAGCCATTCACCCAGACATATGGATATGTAAGTGGTTTCCAATGCTTTGCAATTAGAAATATTGCCGGCAAGAATAACTTTATGCATGTATTTGTTTGGTTGAGGTGGTATCTTCAGGGTAGATCCCTAGAAGTGGGATTACTTGGTCAACAGGAGTGTGTATATGTACTTTTGTGAGATTTTGCCATGTCTCTGTCTGAGGGCAGCAGTTTTGGCTTTCCACTCCTCTGTGAGCATGCTGGTCAGATTCTTGGCAAGTTCTTGCTGTTCCTCAGGGAAGAGTGGTACATGTCAACCCATTCACCGTCGGCATCCTCCTCTCCCTAAGACTGGTACTTTCCCACCCATCTTTGTCATTCTCTTCCTCTTTTTCAATTCTAGAATGTCTGCTACCGAGATGCAATCTAGCATTGAATTCTCCATATTGTTGAACTCTTGCTTCTTCTTCTTCTTCTTCTTCTTTTTTAAGATTTATTTATTTTAGAGAGAGAGAGAGCATATGAGTGGCAGAGGGAGAGGGAGAAGGAGAAAAATCTCAAGCAGACTCCTTGCTGAGTGTAGAGCCTGATGCGGGACTGGATCTCACGACTCTGAGACCATGACCTGAGCCAAAATCAAGAGTTGGATGCTCAACCAACTGAGCCAACCCAGGCATCCCTTTGCACTCTTGCTTCTATCAAGGCCTCTGTAGGCTCACCCCAGAATTTCTTCTGCAACATCAAATGATATGGTGATCAGAAGAGCTGAATCAAAGTTCTAGAAGATATCATCACAGTCTTCTCTTTGTGTGTTCTACACTGGGCCAGATCTTGGAGGGGTCTTGGCCAGAGGACATTGAGCTGCTATCTGTGATAGCATTGCTTATTACTGTCATGACTACCCTGAATTTTTTGTCAATTACAAAATGGTTGGTCTCAGTTTTGAGCAATGATGATGATGCTGTGCTTGTGCAGCAAACAGAAGACTCGATTATTTCTCTTTGAAGGGGCTGCAGAAACCTCTGCACCAAAGGATCAAAGTTAAAGAGAAAAAGCCCATAAATTCCCATCAATCTGGAGATAAGGTCCCTAAGCATCACCCTCATTTCAAACCTCTTCTCAGAGCATGCTGCGGGCTTTAGTAATTTATTTGCTGAACCTCGGGGAATCATTAATCAAGTGAACGGCTGAAAAGTCAAATGCCTCAGTTATTGTTCCGCTTTTGGCTCTTAAGTACACTCTTACAGTCACAGCCTGTTGCAACCCTGTGTTCGGAGCTTCTCTTTCCTGCAGCCCACTGCACTACACAGTCTTTCTTCTTCAGATTCTGAGTCACTGCCCCCTTTCTGCTATTTCTCTAGGAAGGATTTCAAAGCAGTAACATCTTGGTGACTTCAGAGAAACATGCAGCTGGGATAACGCTGGTATTTCTGGCCTCATTTCTAATGTTTCTTCTGTCGAGTTCAATCATTACATCCAAAGACAGCTTGACTGCAGATGCACCACTGTCCCGTAATAGAGCGTGCATGAAATTCTGCAATACTATACTCACTTTCATTTTATTTATATTCTTTGTATTAGTCATGATCTGAGTATATACATCTTATATTCTTTATATTTTACATTTCTATTCTTTATATTAGTCACGTTCTGAGTATTTAAAATCTTTTGCAGAAGGTTATCATGGCAATGCAAAGTTCCAAGAGCCCTAACAAACTTTATGGATTGATGAGATTCTTATCTCTCCGCTTTGCTATTCGAAGACCTGGATCTAAGACGGTGTGATTGTAGCAGAGGGTATCTTTCAGCATCCCGAAAAATGACTTCAATGTCTGGGTGGCAGTGACCAAATGGTGCCATAAACATTACCAGCTTCCCCACTGGGTTTATTCGGTTGTAATTTGAAAAGCTCCACTTGGATTGGTAGTGACTATAATGTTATAGAAATCTCTCAAGGTGGAGGCCAGGGGTCCTGCTTGATCAAATTCTGCACCTACTGCCAGTTGCTGGAAAACTGATGCTTCCACAGGATACACTGGCTACAGCCAGGCTATGATCTCAGAAAACCCAGCTCCAAACCCAGCCAGCCCATCTGAGTGCAGCTTGCAAACTTCTGGGGGTGTCTTATTTTTAAGTCAACCAGAATTCATTTCTGTTATTTGAAATCAAAAGAAAATTAACTACAGTAACCAGAGCTGCACTTATGATTAGGAAGATTCCATTACTGTTGCTATGAGTTGATATCTTTCAGTTCAAGGATTTGAAATGAAATTTCAAATTGAAATTGAAATGAAATTATTGCTTGCTTGTCAATGTTTGATTTCTTTTGGGATTTAAGACTTTTGGTTTTGACTGTACTGGTTGCCATTTTTTTCAGGGGTTTAGTAATAAATAATTATTCATTTAATTAAGTGGGATTAATTTGGCTAGTTCACATAAATTACATTTTAATATCCAGGTTGGCTAAATTTAGCATCTTCCAGGAAATATGAGGTTGGAATGACTGTGACTGTGGGAAGTCATTTACTTGAAAATAACCTTGGTGAGCTGAGTCATATTTCCTGGTTCAGGGTCCTTAATATAACAGAGGTTTTCCAACCAAAGTTTATTAAGAAATCACTAACTTTAACACTATATCAAGCATGAAACACCAAGGTTAAAACTCAAGATTTAAGACTAACAGTTTAAACCAAAGTAATTCTAGTAGGAAAGTTTTTTGTTTTTTTGTTTTCCTGTTTTGTTTTTTAAGTACATTTTTTGGTGACAAAAATGCTAACCATATTTGCAGGAACTAGGGTGGTTACTGGTATGCCATAATTTAAGGAAATTTGACTGGAGAGAGGGAGTGCTATACTCTGGGCTGAGGGAAATAAGGCCTGGGGTTTGCTTTTCCTGCTAACTACTAATTCCTGCTAACTGCTAATTTCTACTACCTCCTGGTTTGGCTTTTTCTGCTATATAGCTGTGTGTTCTTAAGCAAATGAGCTTTCCAGTGCTTCAGTTTTTTCACTCATGCAATTGGAGACAGATTTATATTATGTCTAACTCTCTTGTACGATATATGAAAATCCATATTCAACAAAATATTAAATGAGGACATATTTGTATTAAATCATTTTTATAAGAATATAAAGAATATAAAGGGACTATTTTACTTTTGGAGCTCCTAAGAGAGACATGCACATTATTTACATGTTATTACTTACTTGACAGCATCTAGAAAGTAGAACATAGGTATCCAATAAATGTTGAACAAATGACAAAAGATGAGCAAAGATCCCTCAAACACTTAAAAGCTACAATCAAAGAATTTTATGAAAAAATGGTAAAAGATAAATCATAATACTACATAATTCATCAAGAAAATATGATTTGATTTAGACAAGTTCCAAGAACATGTATGCTGGATAAACTCAGATTTGTCTTCTAGGCCCACTGAGAATTTCACTGGACTTACTGATCAAACTTCTAAGCAAAGGAGAAATATGATCCATTATTTAGAATAAGTTATAAAGATTAAAGAAGAACATAAAATGTAGAACTCCTGTATTAGCATGATAAAAAAGAATCATCAGGCTAATTATGTGGCTGCAGCTTCCCATGTAACATTATTCTGTTTTGTAAAAACAGTCATTAAAAAAGAGATACTGAAAGTTACCAGTCTGTATTAGGACCACCTAATTTCTTAGATTTGGCACATCTATAGATTGCTAATAGTATAGAGAATGTGTACATATTCCTTTCACTGGGTGGTTTGCTCTTTTGTCATTTTTTCCATCTCTCTCTCTAACCCTTTTTATCACTGTATGAGATTCCATGTGATCTCACTCCTGGGTGAGCCTACTCTCTGGTTTTAGCTGGTTGGATGGGTGTACATTGCTGACCCAAGGGCAGTTGGTTAAACACATGGTCCTCTATTTCTTAGAATCAAAATAACTTTACTTAAAATACTTCAGACTGTCTCCCCTGTGATGCCAATTATTCTCTGTGGTCAACACAGCATGATATTTAGAAAATTCATGCTTTAAAGATTTTATTTATTTATTTGACAGAAAGAAAGAGACAGCGAGAGAGGGAACACAAGCAGGGGGAGTGGGAAAGGGAGAAGCAGGCTTCCCACTGAGCAGGGAGCCCAATGTGGGGCTCAATCCCAGGACCCTGGAACCATGACCTGAGCTGAAGGCAGTCACTTAACCAACTGAGCCACCCAGGCGCCCTAAAAATTCATGCTTTAATTGTTCATAAGTAACTTTGAATTCTTTAGAAGAGAAAAATGTATCCATTCAGCACAGCTCTCCATGGACCACTCACATACCAAGCATGGTGAAGTTCGACTCACCCACTTTTAATCTGCCTGTGACCTCTCCTTCAGAGTTGCGTGCGTTGACAGTCACATTCTGAGTTGACTGCAGAAGGAGAGATGAGTCCTAGAAAAGCATTTATAAAATTTGACAAAAAAAAGCACATTATTTAAAATGACTATCTTTATATTCATACATAAATTTAGGATTTACAGGAGATAATTTCTCCATAGTCACAGATTCTGTGACCCTATACATATTTTCAAATCGTGGACTATATTATGTTAAAAGAGTAAATAAATGTACTTTTCCCCCAAAGTTTAAAACAACACATATTTATTATATCATAGTTTTTATGGGTTAGGAGTCGAGGCAGAATCTACCAGTGGTTCCCTGTTCAGCATCTCAAGGGGACTGCAGGGCTGAGGATTCATTCCAGGCACAGGGTCTTCTTTTAAGCTCATGTGGTTGGTGGCAAAATTCATTTCCTTGCTGCTGTAGATGTCCTAACTTTTTTTTCATAAATTATAATACTCTTACGGGTTTCTGCTGCTTGTGTGCACTGGCCACAATGTATCAAATTAGTTCTCAGGGTGAAGATCTAAAATCATCAAGTTTTAATCAGTGTTTTTTCTATTCCAAGGAATTAAAATTTCAAAAAGAATGCAACAGTTTGGCTGTTGGATTCAGGTGGGTTTATGGTCCATTCAGAGGGAACCAAGAATCTTCTGAAGCTACAGGGAATGATGTGATTTTTCAGAAGGAAAGAAGTTTCAAAATTCTCCAAATTGCTTTGTGGAAGCAGATGGATCTATCAGTATCTCACATTTTATCCAATGATGTGACCTTAATCCTTGTTTTAGCACTGTTCAAAAATAACTAGCATGACAATAAGAGTTAACAGTTTACCAATTTCTTCCCTCTAGTCTCGGTGTGCAGGGTGGTGAAGGGGGCACTCTGTGCAATCTCTGGGCTCTCTCAGTGGCGGCAGCCCCCTCCTCCATGGTACTCTGTTCTGTGAACTTCAGGTTGGCTGCTTTTCCTTGGACTCCCAACCATATCTTCTCAACTTGGGGAGAACGCCTGCCTCTGCACTGGTCCCCTCCCTCACTGTGGCCTTAGAAACTCCCCAGGCAGTAAACTGGAGCATTCCTAGGGCTCATCTCTTTTGTTCCCTTTCTCAGAGATAACTGTCCTGACTGCCACTGTCCAATATTTGAAAATCATCCTACTCCATTTTGGCACTATGACAAAATACCAGAGACTGGGTAGCTTATAAACAACAAAGATTTCTTTCTCACAGTTCTGGAGACTGGGAAGTCCAAGATCATGGTGCTGGCAGATTTGGTGTCCCACGAGACTCACTTTCTGGTTCACAGAAGGTGCCTTCCAGCTCACATGGCAGAACGGAGAGATCTCTCAGGCTGCTCTGATAAGGGCACTAATCCCATCACGAGGGCTCCATCCTCATGACCTCATCTCTCCAAAGCCCCACCTCCTAGTACCATCACCTTAGGGGTTAGGTTTCAGCATGTGACTTCCAGACCATAACAAAAACCATTGTTTCATATACTTTCTCAAGTTTTTTTAGTTGCTTAATAAAAGCGGGTAAATCTGTTCCCTATTATTTCTGTCTTGTTTTACCTGTTTTGATTTTATAATTTCTATTCTTTTAATAAAAGCCACTCAAAAATAGCTTTATCTCTGTGAGATTAAGTGTGCTTTTCCAGTCATTTTCAGAATGATTATTTTTACTTAGTTGGAAGTTAATTCTCTTTTTTATAGAGTTAATTTGGTATCCTTTATTTAGATGGAGTTTTCCTTATGTGGTTGCAAATTTCAGTCTCAAGCTCCCTGTGTGGATGTATTTTAATTTCTGGACTCAACCAGCCTGTCTAAAGGCTTTACCATTGTTTTCATTCAGACTGCCATGTTTCTCAGTCTTGTAATGGTGGCTCAGGGCTTGTGTCCTCAGTGACATTCGGGTCTTGGTCTGGCATTTTTATGGGCTCCATCCCACAGATATACAGTTTTATTCAAGCCTGGGCAGTAGGTGCAACCCTTTTTTGCCTTTCAGTGCTGTCTTATGCAGTAGGTCTGGCTGGAGTCCCAAGCAGTCTCATCAGGTGCCATTTTGGTCTCTATTCCTCTGTGGACATTGATGGTAAGCTGCCCCTGCTGCTTTCCAGGATTGTGAACTTCAAAGACAATCATTTCAAGTAAAGCTTTACCACTGTGTGTTTGGGCTTCATTTCATTTTTCACTATGTCTATATGTTTCTAAATACAACCTTTTTGTTTTATCGAATATAATTGCTACGTGTTTAGGTCAATGGGCAGGGTGGATGGTTTTAAATCATGAGCTCCAGGCAAGATCTTGACAGGACTTGTGAAGAGTAATCACATGTTAGAAGCCAGAGTACCATGTTGAATTATATTTATAATAAATTCTCTCACCTCAGCAATATAGATAAATGAATATATGTCAAATTTTGCAAATTCATTTCTGTAGTTTTATGGAAAATTACTTCCTGGACTCATTTTTGAAAAGCAAATGTAACTAATATATCAGTGTATACAGAAAATATAAAACATAATTTTGTTCAGTTAATCCTATTATTGGAAAGCCATATTAGTTACCAGATACTTTCTATTTCTGTGATCACATAATGTTATTCCAAATGTTTCTGTAATTTTATGTATCAATTGACATATTTCATCAATCCGTCATTGTAAGACTTTAAAAATGATTATCTAAAATAATTTACACAATTTTGCTGTTTTTTTTAAAGTATACCAGAGATGAAAAGCATCTGATAAGTATAACTAAAAGTATTATTAAATCCAGAATAGTAAATTTGTTATGAACCAATCACCTGGTTTCAGTCACCAGGTTATTCTACCAGTCTTATCTCTTCAAAAATATGATAGGGGATCAGCCAACATAACTCTGGGGGGAAAGATGGCTAAGTTCTAATATTTAAATTCTTTGCTCACATCTGACCTTCCCTTTTACAAAAGCTTAGGTTCATTCCCCATGTTCCCATATGACAGGAGTATTTAATACATTTAAATGCCATCAGGATTAATGTAAGCGTATTATCTGAAGAAGCTCATAGAATCGGGCTTATGCATGTATCAGCCTGTCACATTCCAGGTCATTTGCCTGCTCCTACTCTCAACTGAGACATTCTCAGAAGTAATACAGTAGTGTCTAAGAGCTACTTATGTGCTTTGCACTTTCTAGAATCTCTCCTCCGCAGTCCATATTTGGTAGTAGAGCTTGGTGATTGTTCTGATGTCCGTGTAAGGGTGTGGTTTATCTCGAAGACCACATGTGTTCTCAGTGGTTAGACTTTGGTATTCTTCCCAATTGCCCCAGAGTAGCTGGAAGAGCCTCTACATGTAGGAGATACTGACATATCCTTTCATATGTAGAAATATGACAGAAAAATGAAGAGTGCACTCTTCATACAATTGGTAAGTTGTTGTTGGATGAAGTTTAACATTTTGTTGGGATAATGCCACCTAATCAATAATTTGCCAAATGTTTATCTTTACTACAAAGTCCATAGCATCACTGAAAACAAAATAGAACATATTACAAAAATGGACTATATTTTATGCTTGGCTCTACTTGTTATAAATTCTGTGGAGGTAAATGAAGATAATATTGAAATAGATTTGTTTATAAAATCACACAATTATTTAATGGGAATGTTTAATCTACTTATGGAGAATCCTACAGGACCATAATCTCTAATTAGCATAATTAGTACAGAACATACTACTATGAAACTAATTTCTTTCTAAGCTTCTCAGATAATTTTAAATGCTTTGAATAAGTATTCAAATTACCTGCACTAAAAAAGTTTAGATTATTTTTGATAAAGGTTTTAATTACCAAACCTTTTTTATTATGGTCTAAATTACTGAGGCCACCAAATTCAGATCTAAAGCACATGAAAATGGAATCCTTTTAGAATGTAATAGCAGAAATATGTTCTACAACCTTCTAGCCAAGCTTTTTACAGAGTGTAACATCAATGTGTGTACATGTATACATTTAAGAACCTCTTCTGAAATATGTTAAATTTCTGTGCTTAATGATTATTTACTTTTCATAAAACACAAAATATTTAAATGTTTCATCATTTTCTTACCACTCTGGAGTGTATTTCCTTAGCATACAACGGGAATAAAAATTCTGATTCTCCTTCTAGGCGAAGACCATCTTTTGTAACACGCAAGTGACCCATTCCTGTCTGGTAGAAAGATGAGACAATAGAGATTTTGTTATAGCTTTCTTTTTCCTTTCTTTTAGGATCAACTAAGATTACAGATGCATTTTCATAAGTTTTCTATTGACACTTTTCTGTATTTCTTTTAAATATTCTATTTCAAACTTTAGTTGTTTTTACTCAATTGTCAGTATTTCATTAACTCTTGTGTAATACAAAGGACTATTTAGGAACTACATATAAGATTTAAAGAGTCAATTTATAATAAACACCCAAGAAACCACCACGATGTAAGAAAAAGGTTCTTACCATGACTATTTAAAAACACTTTTAAAAATTAAGATGCAATAAAACAGACTGTTTTGAGGTGTCCAGTTCTATGAGTTTTAACAATGATCCACAAGGTACAGAACAGTTCCATCTCTCCAACCCGCACCGTACCTTAAAGGCTTCAAGTGTATCTGGCAAGTTTACAATATAGCAACTGTTTATTGGCCAGTTCTTAAGTGAAAAGCAATATAGGAGGATGTAGAACTCTATTCAAGGTGTCTGTTCTCAAAGAATTTTCAGTCATGAAAAATGACTGGATGGAAGGATAGAAGACTTAATTCTGGAGATTACTAGTGACCAACATGCTGTTAAATCTTGTAGACATTTTAAAGCTTCATTTCCTTTGCTTTCTCAGCAGCATTCAGCACCGGACCTCTTTTTTTTTGGAACACTATCCTAACTCAGTTTCCGGGATACCACGCTCTCCTAGCTTTTCTCCTTGGCCTCCATACACATTCATCGTCATCTACCCAGCCTTTGACCGCTGGCCTCAAGCTCAGTCAGGCCCTCTCCTGTGATCCCTCCCTGGCCCTGCCCTCGGCTTCCATTACCATCTCAGTGTGGAAATTCTCACCTGTTTTTATTTGCAGTTTACATCCTCTCTTCTGAGCTCCAGACCCATATATATATATATATATATATATATGATTGCCTATCTTTCCTTCCTTTTTGAATGTCCTGGGAGCACCTAAATACAACAAATTGAATTCTGATTTTTCCTCTCTTCCCCCAGGATAGAGGTAGATTTAAGAAAGGGAGAACAGAATGGTCAGGAAAATGAAACAAAAACATTAAGGACAACTTTTTCCAGTGACAGGTGATTTCCAGGCCAGAGATATGTTACTCTGAACTGATGTCATAGACTTCTCTTTTGAAGAACTCCCTGGTTGATAAGGCCCACTGACAAGAACCAGATTTAATCTGAATTACTATGCCCGGTTATCTGTCTGTGAACCACCATTATGGTCCTCTTCCCAAACTCGGGTGTGGGAGCAGTGGAGTTTGCCCTGTGCTTAATGGAAGTCCCTCAGTGCTGCTGGCTTGAGTCAACCTCCACCACAGGCAGGGAAGCTCTCCTGAGTCTCTCTGACACGTGTGATTCAGTGTGTAGCTTGGTTTAAAGAAAGGGCTCAAAATCTAAAAGGTTGACAGCTACTGTTCTACAGTTTCTCATCTAACCATGCAATTGAAAGGCACAGTTTATGAAATTAAGCCAACATTAGCAATATTATGAACTCCATTATGTGTGGATAATAAACCAATTTTTAGCAAACAATTCCAACAAGAATTTTTTGTCCTAGAGTTAACCAAAGTGAAGTTTCAAGATTATATATTCGAATCTGAAAATCTGCTGCTAAATTTCTGGGTTCAGTGAAACACATGCCAGGAGTTTTTCTGGACTCTATTTTGCTATATTGGGGGAAAAAACACCAATAAAAAAGTAATGCTAATTCCAGCCTCTGAAGTACTAATCTACGTAATTAGATTGCAAAAGCTTATTGTTCCTTGTCATTTGTCATTTCCTCCTCTGGCTATTTGTCTCCCTGAAAAATAAGGAAATTGACATGAGGTGACCCAAGCTGCCTTTCACCTGTAATAGTCTACAGTTTCAATAAAATGAATTACAAATCTCTACAAACAACCAATCACTCCTCAATGCCTTAAAACAAAAGAATACACCTATTTGTCTACTTTTTTTTTTTTTAGTCAGGTATGTTGAGGTATAATTCACAAATAATAAAATTTACCTTTTTTAGTGAACATTTTTGCAAGTTTTCACAAAGTACAAAACACAGTGAAGATATAGAAAAGTTCTAGAGACCATAAAACATGCCTCCCTGCAGTCACTCCCCACCCCCACACTCCCATTCCTTGGCAAACACTGCTTTCTGTACCAATAGTTTTGCCTCTTGACGAATGTCATATAAATGGAATCATACAGTATGTAGCCTTTTCAGACTGCCTTCTTTCACTAGAATAATGCATTTGACATTCATCCATGCTGTTGTGCATATCAGCAGTTTGTTTCTTTTTAGAGATGAGTAGTATTCCCCTGGATGAATATATCACAATTTGTTTATCCATCTATCAGTTGAAAGACTTTTAGGTTGTTTTGATGATTATAGAAAAAGGCTTCTGTGTGAACATAATTATCATTTCTGTTGAAAAAAAGCCTAGTAATGGGATTGCTGGGTTGTATGGTAGGTTTATGGTTAACCTTATAAGAAATAAACTGCCAAACTGTTTTCCAAGGTGGTTGTACCATTTTGCATTCCCATAAGCAATATATGAGTGTTCCGGTTGCACTGTATTCTTGTCAACACTTAGTATTGTATTTTTTCCCATTCTAATAGGTATATGATGGTATCATATTGTGGTTTTAATTTGTATTTTCCTAATGACTAATGATGACAAACGTTTTTCAATGTGCTTTTTGCTATCCACATCTCTTCTTTGGTAAAATACCTGTTTAATTTTTTTCTACTCACTGTTTCTTTCATTATTATTGATGATTTAGGGTTCTTTATATATTCCGGATACAAATCTTGTAATTTGCAAATATTTTCACCCAGCATGTGTTTTTTTTTAATTTCTTTAACTGTGTCTTTTGAAGAGCAAAAGTTTTTAATTTTCAAGAGTTTTTCAATTTTCTCTCTTGTAGTTATGCTTTTGATATTTTATATGACAGCTTTACCTAAACCAAGGACATATTTTCTCCTATGTTTTCTCCTAGAATTTTTATAGTTTTAGAATATACACTTAGGTCTATGACCAATTTTTAGTTAACTTTTATGTATGGTGTGAGTTATGGATAAAGATTATTTTGCATATGGTATCCAATTATTTCAGCACAATATGGTGAAAATTTTATCCACTTTCCACTGAATTAGTTTTGTGCTTTTATAAAAAATTAATTAACCATGTGTGGTTGTATTTCTGGATTCTCTATTCTGTTCTATGGACCCATGTATCTATATTTACTACACTGTATTGATTACTCTAACTTTACAGTAAAGGCTTGAAATCACATAGTGTGAGTTTACTAATTTTATCTTCTTCAAAACTGTTTTATTTTTATTTTTTTAAAAGATTTTATTTATTTATTTGACAGAG